AATCTTCTCCACTCCTCCATTCCCCCCCCTCCAATCTTCTCCACTCCCCCTCCCTTCCTGTAATCTTCTTCTCCTCACCTCCCCTTCCCTGTAGCGTGGCCGAGCTCCTCTCCGGTCCGCGACCCGGCCGGACTGACAGGAAGTGCACACTGCACACTGAGCACTGAGTGTGCACTTCCTGTCAGTCCAGCCGGGTCGCGGACTGGAGAGGAGCTCTGCCATGCTAGAGGGAAGGGGAGGTGAGGCAGTGCGGCAGTCGCCTGAGTGCTCTCTATAGAGCGCTCAGGCGGCTGTGGCATTTAAAGGACCGGCGATGGGGGCGCAGGGCGCCCCCTCCTATATAGCGCCCTAGGCGGCTGCCTAGTTCACCTTATAGGAGGCGCCGGCCCTGTGTGGAAGTCAATGTATTTAAGTGGACTCTGGGCAAGAGTAAGTCCAGTGTTTCATATCTATTTAGTACTGTGGGCTGGATATATGCTCTTAGCACAGTATTTATTCTATGGACAGAATCCGGTGTTCATTGATTATTCCTGTTATTGTCGCGGTGGGCTCTACTTGTTTGCCATGCCATTTTTCTTGTTTATTTTGGAATTTTGCAATAAACACTACCAATTCCTCCACTGATGTCTATGGACAAATTAATAATCAGTAAGCAAAATAAACAAGAAAAATGGCATGGCAAACAAGGAGAGCCCATCGCCACACTAACAGGAATAATCAATGAACACTGGATTCTGTCAAGATGGACAAAATCTGGTGAAAATGGCTGAATAGAAATTTACTCAAGCCAGATCCAGTTGGAATTTGGTCAGTCATACTTAAGCAGTAGTGCCAGGGCTTCTGAGACTTTGAACACCTTGGCTAGAAGGACTGCTGCCACCTCCACCACTATTAGTAGTATTTAGCCTCAGGATAGTGGGATTTGCAAGATTTCCACTCCAACATCCAGGAGTCAATTGTTTTTTTCAATTTTTTCATGCTGTAACAACTGGTGATTCTGCTTCCCAGTGGTGTATTTAGGATTTGGGCTGCCCTAGGCAGGACGGTGCTCGGGCACCCCCCTCTCCAATTTAAATTTTCCCCACCCCTTCCTGTCAACGCCGCACTTTGACAGACGCATACACTCATTGACAGACACACACTCTCATATACACTGACAAACAATGACATGCACACACACTATTACTTGAACATACACTGACAGATGCACGCACGCATTAACTGACCGACAGATACACACTCACTGACCCACAAACACATACACACACACACTTACAGACACATACACACACTTACAGACACATACTCACTTCTCCCAACACTTACAAATTATTATTTTTATTTTATTTTAAATCCACCCAGCCTCCCTGGGAGAGCTGGAGTGGATTGCTTACCTGTCCAGTGGCGCTGCTGGTTGGGCAGGCAGGAGGCGCACAGGCTGAGTTGGTGGCGCTTAGTGATGCCGGGAGCCGGTCTGACTTCATATTCCGGCTCCCGGCTTCATTAAGCGGCACGGAGGGAGCTGAAACATACACACACACACTCACATACACACACTGACAGCCAGACACACACATACACTGACATACACACTGACAGACACACATACACAATCATTCACATACACACTGACATACATACACAATCACTCACATACACACTGACAGCCAGACACACACAATCCCTCACATACACACTGACAGCCAGACACACACAATCACTCACATACACACTGACAGACATACATACACAATTACTCACAAACACTGACAGCCCCCTCCCCTCCCCGGCCCTTCTCGCTCCTCCCCGCCCCTCCCCAAACATTAACTCATTACTTCTTTTTTTTTTTTTAGTTTAAATCCACCCAGCCTCCCTACCTTTGGGAGTGCTGGGTGGATTTTTTTTTACCTGGGTTTCAGTGGGGCTTTTCACAGGAAGGGAGGCAGGCATGCAGGCGGTTGTCCGGCTAAAAATACAGGCGGGCGGCGCTGGCGAGGGAGCACTGATTAGTGAGTTGTCTCTGCTCAGCTCCCTCGCACGCCACAGAGTGATGCCGGGAGCCGGGAATATGACGACAAGCATTATACATTATTGAAGCCCCTAAAGAAGCAACTAAGGGGACACAGCAGTGTCTACTTTGTGTGGGTCATGAGAGGCAACTTTAGTGAAGACATAGCACAGAGTACCAACGTGGTGGCAGTAATGAATTCAGTGATAATAATTCTGTTTCTCCCACCACTGGTGGCAGACATAGCACTTTTACCTTTGGTCCAGGAACTACTTGATAATGAGTATGAGGATCCAGAGTAATTAGAGGAGGAGAGTGTGGAGTGCACAGTGCAGCCCTCGATTTTCTCTAGCAGCTAGTGTGCACGTGCATCCTGTATCTACTCCACCATCTCTAAATCCATCTGTATCTGCTTTACATGATTATTCACTAAAGTCCTAATGTCCCCCTGTACTGAATGGGGAAAAACATTTGGTGCTGTGAGGGGCCATGTGGACTGCAAACTTGACATTGTTGATAGAACGAGAATGAATTCGTCTCTGGATTCTGGCCGGACCAAACACCACCAGACGGCTTTGACTCCAGGCCTGGATTTAAAACAATCCAAAATATTTGCCCGCTGGCAGCACTACAGCTAATACTAATGCTTAAAGGACCACTATAGGCACCCAGACCACTTCAGCTTAATGAAGTGGTCTGGGTGCCAGGTCCAGCTAGGTTTAACCCTTTTTGCTGTAAACATAGCAGTTTCAGAGAAACTGCTATGTTTACCTATGGGTTAATCCAGCCTGTAGTGGCTGTCTCATTGACAGCTGCTAGAGGCGCTTACGCGCTTCTCACTGTGATTTTCACAGTGAGAAGACGCCAGCGTCCATAGGAAGGCATTGAGAATGCTTTCCTATGAGACTGGCTGAACGCGCGCAGCTCTTGCCGTACATGCACATTCAGCCGGTGACGTCAGAAGAGGGAGGAGAGTCCCAGCCCTGAGGGAGCCCAGCACTGGAAAAAAGGGATTAACCCCTTCCTCCCCCTTCAGCGCCATGGGAGTGGGACCCTGAGGGTGGGGGCACCCTCAGAGCACTATAGTGCAGGAAAACGAGTATGTTTTCCTGGCACTATCGTGGTCCTTTAATGTTCAGTAGACATGGCAACAGGTGGGGGGAATATGAAAGTTTATAACCTCCATTATAGCAATATTAGGATCTTATTGATGCCAACAGGAATTTTTTTTTGTTTATTTACCCTATTTAAAAAAAAAACTTTTTAATGTGGCTGCTGGCTAGCAAGCGCTTTCCAGCTGCCACATGATTTACCCTTGCTCTCTCTCATTGATGTGGTCTGGCTGCACTGTCTCTGTCCCACATAGCCCTGCGATGTAATAAAAAAATTTGTTATAGTTATATAGTTTTTGAGAAACTATATAGTATGGTATATGTTATAGTTTTTGAGAAACTGCAATGATTAGTTTGCAGGACTAAGATTGTCTCTAGTGACTGTCTATCAGACAGCCACTAAAGGTGCTTTCTGGATTCTAATGGAGTTTGACTCCGTTAAACGATGCTGGACATCCTCACACTCTGCATGCTCTGCTCATGATGCTTACACAATGGGCACTATAGTGTTAGGAATACAGATTTGTAGAATACATTCAACTATTTACCCACTGGCTGCTAGTTCTTTAAATTATCATCCACTAGCAAATAGGAATGAATGAATGGTAGTTTGTGAACCAGCATGCAGCTGGATGCATTCTGTTTCTCTTTGGCCTCCGTGCGGATGTTGATAAATCTGATTCCTGTGCTGTAAATTGTTTAGGACGCAGATATTCGATTTTCCGAATGCTTATGAATGAATGTTACTTTTTTGGTCAGACGACTGAATCCTGACAGCAACTGGCTTTAATTAATTTGCGAATTGTCAATGCGGTTGGAATTCTGACAAAATCTGGTGTTTAGTGAATAACCCTATTAGAATCACCGCACGGAGACAATTGTGACATACTGGTTGCACCTGCTACCACTGCCACAAGTAGCTCACCCACTGTCAATGTTGCCACAGTGTACAGGCTAGTGTTGTAAAAGCTTCTACTGCTTGTGATGCTAAAATACCTTGTGACGGACCGCCTGGCACCCCGACCGGGTGCCTCCATCAGTGGCTGCTTCTTAGTTCGAGCGAGCACCATAAACACTGTACTAGAACATCTCGAACAGCAACTCTGAGTAAGAGTCAGAGGATGCCATACTTGCCTGCTCTGTGGGCTTCCAGGGGCGCTGCACGAATGCTAGCATTGTCCTCAATATAATCCACACTTTACCGGTGTCTCCAGGATGCTTCTGCTCACACTAGGAAGCCATCCCACCGCTGCCACCAAATGTAGTGGTCACCCTGAAGGGTAGATGGGTTTCCTCCACCAGAGACGTCTTTCTCCCAAGTGTGAGGTGTGTTACCGCATTCCAAGTAGTCATCCAAGTCGAGATGCAGGCTTAGTGGTGAAGCTCTTATAACAGCTAGTAGTGATAGCTTGTATAGCAATTCCATACCAGAAGAGACAAGACTCAGTTTTGAGGGTGACCACACTGGCCTTTATTGCAAGTCCCCATGCAAGGGGTACTTCCACATGGACCTTGTGTGGTGATAGGATACAGAATTATCAACCAATAATAACAGGGTTATACAGTGTGAAACTCCAATACCTGGGAGATAATTGAGTCATAATTGAGTCAATTACTGTCTCAACTCAATTATCTCCAGGCGAAAAAGGAACATAATTTATAGACAATCTGAAAGTACCCCCAAAACACATAATATCACCATAAAAAGCATATCCACTGATCTGGGTGAGCAACATATTAAAAAATCACCCAGATCAGTTCAGGGGTTCGGGATTCGTATAGAGGTCTTATTTCTGACTGACCGCACACATGGCTCCTGTCCAGAATAGTTCCATAGAATTATGCTGTGTGGCCTTTTTTGTCTCCACTTGAGAAAGCCATCATAGGTGAAATGCGTTGTGGATATTTTAAAATTTTATTCTGTATTCTAAATAAAAGTATTTTGGCTACTTTTAACACACTTTGATTGTGCCATTTTACTTTTTTATTTATTATTATTTTTGCTTGGTATCCTGATTTTATTCTTCCTGCTGGGTATTACTCCAAAGATATCCTAGGTGGGGATTATACCACTTACGCCCGAGTCATTGAGCAGTTCGCCTGCTCAATCATATGTGAGCACACATTTTATTATTTATACTCCTTATATAATTTTATACAGTGAGCACTATCAGTTGTCTCCCTTCTCTTTTATAATCTACATCAATACAAGACTTACCACTCTACACGTATCCTACAAACGGGGATTATACCGCTGTACGCCATTTACACTAGAGCTGGTTCAAGCTCTACTGCACGTGAGTAGGACTATATTAGACTCTGTTGTTGTACAAACCATCTTTACTAGACGTACTGCTCTATCATCTGTCTTTTTCTTCTACAGATTGAAAGACCAATACTTCTCTACGTATCCCACAAGCGGGGATTGTACTACTGTATGCCATCCACACTAGAGCTAGTTTAGCTCTACTACACGTGAGTAGGATTACCATAGATCCCTTCTCCCTGGTAACCAACCTTTTTACTAGACGTATTTGCACTATTATTTTCTTCTCTTTTTACATACGGATCCTGGAAAGCTCCATTTGATCCATATAGAGAATATTCCTCTACATAGGCTCCACTAAAGAGTTTGTTTCGGTACCACCAAAAGATTTTGGACTTTGTTCATATTAGCTGTACTATAGTCAGCTTTTGGCGCAACCTTCTCTTGTCTTGTCTTGTGTATTACCTTTGTCTATAGGGCTTAGAGGGAACTCTATTTTTAGGTTTGCTGCCTCCTACTTTCCCTATTTATAGTATTGGTTTATTTTAGCGCTGTTCCCTTTCTTGTATATTCCCATAAAGCACAGTATTACTGACAACGAAAAATCAGTTTGCAAAGCCTTTTTTCTTTAACGGTGTGCTGTGCAAGTGTTAAAGCTTTACAGCAGTAGTAAGTCCACCAAGCAGCAACTCACTTTTCAACATAAACATAAGATAGGATGAAAAGTGACAGGCATTTTAAAAAAGGGGAGCAACAACAGCAGTAGTACTTCCTCCATGTTGAGGTTGAGGATAGTGCCAGTCATTGACAAAGGCTGGTTGGACAGTGTCAGTTGGCTACTAAGCAAGTGTCCACTAGCCCACGATTGAACATTTTGTTGGATTTCATTGCAGTGCCATGTTAAAATAGCAGCCCAACAGAAACATCCGCCTGTATCTCCAGATATATGGAGCGCTCCTATAGACCAGCATGAATTTCTTTCCTTGATGGCACACTGGGTGCCCTGCGGTGACTAGTTATAGTGATGGGAGTGAAGGAGGTCCAACCTTACTTGCAAACCATATTTGAGCGCTGCAGAGGATTGCATGGTATTTCAACTTTAATGAGAGGGCTACCCAAGTCTTGAGGCAGGAGCAAGAGAAAAGAGGGCTTCACACACAGTGTCTATGACTGGATTTCAGCCCATGGTGGAACTCCACTTAAAACATGGTGGAAAGAATTTTGGAGCAGCAGACGGCAATCCAGTCTATCTTCCCACAACTCCAATGGCATGAACTCCCTACTGAAACCTGAGGACTGGACAATAACAGGGCAGCTAGTGTTAGTTCTTATTCTATTTAGGGACATGACAGAAACTTTGAGACACAGTGCTACAAGGTTATTACCTTTCATTGTAATGGTTTTGCCCTGGCTGAGGGAGTCTTGCTTTGCCTGCTACCTCCGCAGATACAGTTGGGAGAAGCTGATAAGGCACTTTTATTTTCTACACGGAAGGATGGTCACTGATGCTACAGATTGGATGTGTGGGAAAGCTTTGTTTTTGTCAGGGTGGAAGGAGTGAGTGGGTGATCAATTGTCCACTGACGTTTTCATTTCCCTATTTTGAACAAGAAATGATTCCTGCTGATAGTAATTAATCATTTGAAAACAATATTTTTTAAATTCAAGTATGATTAATATTTTATATGCTCCTGTTTTCCAAGTTTTCCCCTTTTACTCTTATTCCCCTTAATGGTTCGTAAAATTAATTTTGCTATGTTTAAAACTGCAAAATTAAAATGAAAGAATTTGAAAATTCAACAAAGTTTTCTCATTTTCTCTTTTTCTTTTCAATCAGTTAAATCATTACAGTTTTACAACTCGGAATTGACATGGCAAAAATGCTTGATATTGCAAAGCCATCAGACCAGGAAATATTGTAACTGATTTTACATGTCCGTGCAGTCGTAGTCACCATATTTCCTGTATTTTTTGACCGCTCAAATTGCCTTCCCAAACTCAGCTAAGGCAAATAGTGGTATAAACAAAATGTTGCTGTCCTACAAATTTTACGCCCTGCAGAAATCTGAAGGTTTGAAAGGTATGAAAACTATTTAAAAAGACACCAACAAAATAATATATAGATTACATTAGATAAATGGATTTAGATAAATTATCTTACTCGGCTATAGACACAACAAGGATATTGTGAAGTGTGTGGATTGTTGGGAATTCAAAGTAAATTTCAAGATTTTGACCGCCAAATCAGCAGAACTGAACACGTAGCTGCCTTGGAGAAGTATCCAGTTGGGCTAATATATTCTAAAATGTGAAATCCGCTACCCTTAGTGAATTCTCAATTTAGGGAATAATCCTAGAAATGTGTTATGATTACCATCATCCATTATTAATAAAATGAATCCGGCTGAAATGCTGTTCGTTTATCTGAAGACCATGGGTCATGTGAGCTCCCTGGGATGTAATGCTAATGATTTATTTGCATGTAATTGAGTGAATTTAAAGCTATGTTAAAGTTCAGTGATTAAATTAATTAGAAGCAATCTATCCCCTACCAGATATAATAAAGATAAATATATCCTCACTCTGCAGCCAAGCAGGGATTCCGCTGAGACAGTGTTGTGATCACCGTGGGAAAGTAATATTTTAACATGTATCAGCTAGTCTGACTCATAAAGCAGAACAGATTGCATGGTTCTTTCTAAACTTGTATTTATGTATTTTCTGTTTTCGTACACTACGTCTTTATTTGTATAAGCAAACAAGAAGCTCCTTTCTAATTTCTTAAACAGAGACTGGTGATATTTCTGTGAAAAAAAAAAGACAAATAGGTTTAATGAAGAAACAGATCATTATGAAAACCAATCTGCACATTTTGATAATCGAAGCATCTTAGCTGCTGTAGCTTATTGCAGTGGTTATTGTGATATTAATTTGTGGTCACCATCCCCTCCATCGGTAGTTGATAATTTGCAAATTTCTCTTCTGAATTATTAAGTACGAATCCATTCAGCACTCGACAGCAATGAGGTTGAGTCATGGGATTGGGAATGCCTATAGACCTATAGTGCTATAATGAACTGAATTGGATATGATGCTTAGAGATCCCTTGAAACTTTATAAACACAGTTATATTTTAAAGTTGATATCTGCATCTACATTTTGCAGTTAATGTATCTACAACTACAATTAAATGCTTGACAAAAAAAATAATTTATCCTCATTTACAAGGGAGGAAAAATTGCTACCTTTGAGGATTTTGCAAGGATAAAACTTAGTAGATCCTATGATAACTGGCTCTCTGGGTTCTTTGGAGAGCAGCCTATTTAACATTGTTGTAGAGTTTGGATAGTTGTTCTTTCCTGTCCTTTCCTGTGTTTGAATGTGATTGGCTCTATAAACTCTAGCAGTGCAAATGAGGAAACGAGGTGCAAAACAATATGGGCAAGATTTTACAAAAAATACATGCAATTTTTTTTTATAAATGTGTGTTAATAAATCAGTCAGGCTTATTTTGTATATATTTTAAATTTGTTTGCTCCCTAACTTCCATTTTCAAATATATGGTATTTTTCAGTGATGGAACAGATTTAATAAGCATGTTGTCACTTTTTCAGAAATAAATGTGTTTTAAATTTGGTGGATTTCTGAAATAGAAATTTCTGCGAAAATTGACAGAATTTACTATGACGATATCAGTTTTTAGATCACTTTTTGAAAACTTTATTAAATGTGATTAAAATAATGATGGAATTTAAATGTAACGTTCCAGAACACTTTGATAAATATTCCCCTATGTTTCTTAAAAATGTTTAGACATTAAAATACTACTATGTGTATATGTGTAACCAAACATAGTGCTTATAAAGAACAGCGTTGAGTAAACGCGCTCTCTGTTTGTCCTACTGAGATATAACCTGCTGCGATGTTAGTGAGAATGACTGAAACACTTATTATATTACTTATTATAGCGAAACTAAAACAACGCAAGTTTAAGCCAGTTTAACTTTTAACTTACTATAGAAATGTCTAAGCCTGAAGAAACATTAACAAGTTATTAAATCTGATCGTCAACTTTCTAACAAAGTTCTGTTATATCCTAACAATACCTAAGTAACGTAAAACTAGATTGTGTATAACTTTAAAAAATGTGCTTGTTTTATTATGTACCACTATGTTTGACTGTTATAATGCGCTGGAGGATTGCCTTTGGGGTATCTTTAGAGTGATTGTTATAAGCTTACGCACAACAAAAATAAAGAATTATAAAAAAAAAAAATGTTTAGACATAATTGTCAATATTTAAATTTGTGACATTGAATGAATAAGAAAAATGTTTTGCAAGATGGACAAATGCTATTTTATTAATTGAATGTTAATTATAAAACTCACACGATGCTCTCAATAAGCTGGCAAAGCATCATGGGAATTGCAATAATGCTACAGTATTTAAAGTATTTAGAGATATTCGGTTTCTACACTTTAACTCATTTTGATGAGTCTATTCAATATATCTTTATTAATGTATTTGATTTCAGATGTGTATTAAAGAGTGAATAATGTATTGAGTGGTATTTGGTTAAATTACTTGCAGGAGACTCTTCTAAATGCAGATAGCATAATGTTTGTCTTTTCATTCCCTGACAAAACAATTAGACATGTTTCCCATTTCCCAAACTATTCAGTTGCAGTTATTTTTGTCCCACTGTGAATCCCCTATTGCATTTCACTGGCAATTTTCCAACATGAAT